ATTGAAATGCTCTGTTCCTTCTGATATCTCACCATAGACTCCATTAACGTATTCTCTGGAGAACTCCTGATGCCTTTGGGAGCCTTTCAAGAAGCACGACCACGTTGCTTAGGTAATCAAAAAAAGTACAGTTAACAGATATCTTAAATAATAATCTCAGTGAATCATTTGCAAATAGCCCATAGACCAGAACATTTTTTGCAAACAGTATAATTAGATTTTGAGTAAAAATGCAAATGAAAATCCTCTTAAAGTGGCAGACTAGAGACCACTTTTTTATCTCRCTCTGTGCCTTTTGTTAAGGTTATGAAGAATTAATGAGGAGTGGAATAAGTTTAGTAAGCCCTCCTAATTCTGTCTGCTCTGCCGACAAGACGGTAATATCAAACTTATGTTTGTATAAATAAATAATTAATAATTAAACATATAAACCCAATATCAGATAGTAATATTTTGAAGATTTTCTAAAGAAACAGGAATTCCAGGTTACTATTCTTTTAGCTTAGCCATCCCCCATGGCTGCTCATGAACCTGGAGCCTGCACAAGTCTCATGTCACAGCAGTCAGGGCTTAGGAGTCATTCGGGGGCTCTGAGGGGCTAAATCTGGAAGGTTTACACAGCCTAGCTGGCCAGCTCCTGCCACAGCTGAAATTTCACTGAATTCACAAAAAAAGCCAACCCAACCAAACCAGACTCCATGGGGTGGGGAGCCTACCAAAAACACGCACAGGAAACRGTCCAAGTCACACAGGGCCCTTCCCACACCAACACCAATGTACTCCCTGTATTTCTCCCTACCTGCTAAAATCACTGGTCTGCCTGCTGAGACCTTTCTCCAGCAAGCAGCCTAATTTGTCGGTTAATGACTAAAGTTTCATTCAGCTGCAGCTTGAAAACTTCCTAAATCAGCACACAGAATTTTGTAGCAAGTATTTTCCTGGTTGATACTACCATTTTGCTTTGCAGATGTAACTTCACACAACCCATCTGAAATTAATCAATTAAGTTGTTGCTGGTTTTATCCTTAAAGTAGCTCTGAACTACTACAATCAAATCTACTTATTTTCCAGCACCCCCCAAATTGTGTTCCATCTTTTTGAGGGCTGTACCCAGCAAGAAAAGCCTACTGAAAATGCATGGTTGGTAATAAAATGTTATCTAGCCTATTCTGAAGCTCGAGCTCTGCTACGTGCAAAGTTTGTAAGAGCACCAGCTCAAATTATTGAAAAGAAACCTCTGACTTCCCATTTTACAGCAAACACTATTGCGATTAAGCATGTAAAGCCACATGTAAAACATGTAAAGCTACATTAAGGAGCCAGATACATGGATATATTTCTAAGTGACTCAGGAATCTTAGAGAATACAATGGATGTTTATAATAAAACAAAAATACAAGTTCACAATAATGTCATTAAGCTAACGGGGTATATTTAAGGTAAATCATTCCATAATTAAAAATGGGAAGAGATTAAAAACTGTCATTTTTTTCCTGAGATAGCTTTTTCAAGGCTTAAAGCTAATACTGATGCACAATTATTCCTGGCAGATATTTCTCAATTCTATACAGAAGAGAAGCTTGCTAATCTCATCATCAATTTTTTAATATGTAATATAAGAAAATTTAGAAGGACAGGCTACTCTGAGCACTTGTGATACTAATTGCATATTGTTTTTCCTAACATCATTATACCAACAAAACAGAGACTGCGTGTCAAATGAAATGAGCAATAGAGAATCCCTGATGATGCACATTTGCCTCTGCATTACTTTTATCCACTTGCTAAGTTGCCACAATGGAGATTTGCAATAGAGCCCACTTTCATTAATGAAATTAGTATAGTTCTAATATAATCAGCATCAGATCTTGTGTCTACTGGTGGATAAAATACAATAAAATTGGCAAAAGAAGTCAGTTAATAGTCCTACATATTAGATTAAGTCTGTAAGTCAATAAAAGCAAAACTGTATATCTGCTTCTAATGTACTTAGAGGGGCTGTGATCACCCGAAGGCATGTATTCAAAAATAAGATATATTTAAATCTTTAGACAAATTTAGTCAGAAAGAACACGGTATTAGATGTTTATGCAAAACGCACATACCCAGCAATAATGTTTTCTGTCTAGATCTGGTTTGCGTCAATGATAAAATACTGTCTTCCCTCCATCCAATAACAGATTATATCTAAAGGTGAAAATGATAAAATTTCTGAACTAAATTTATGCACTCTAGATGAAAAAGTTAGTTTCACCTGTCTCATTTCATTACCTACCTTCCTCAAAGAAGAGACGTCACGTTTTTCATGCCAATTTCAGCAATCTACATGTTTCAAGCTGGCAGAAAGACAGTGTCTTCCTAGAAAAATTGCCACCTTTTCACAATCCCCAGTGAAATGGCAAACCAGGTTAGAAAGACAGAGGAGATTGGATTACCTGTCTGCACCGGATCATTGTTTCCAGGAGATAATCCATAAATGATTAATCCTTCTAATGTTCTTAAGCAATGTAAGGAGGGCTGCCTGTGACCTATTTCAACCTCTCACACTGTTGTTGTGGGAACAGCTTTATTGGATGAGTGAAATTGACTGTTTTTATGCTTTTACATACAATTCAATTACATTGAATTCTAAAAGTACTTTGTTGCCTTTCCTTTGCTTAATGGTTATTTAGCATCTGTTAGAAGGAGCGTAACTGTTTGTAATACTTGTGTGCAAAGTGACAGTGAAGACAGAGATGACTAAATGTCTTCATGTCATTTTATTTGTACTTTATTAAATTACATGATTTCAATAATTTGTAGTTCTTTTTAATGCTTCCGGCTCCACAGCAATTCTAGAAGAATTTGCCAGCTGCACAGGGGGAAATAAAAAGAATTCTATTTCCATTACAGAATCATGACTACAACAGTTAAATGAAAAAAAAAAAAAAGAGTCCAAAGTAATTTGTAGCTAAATTCAGATTTCAGTATTGCAGGCTGTTTCTCTAAGGAACTCAAATACTTTACAAAATGGTTACACATTATCTCTACTTAACGTAGAGTATAGAAATAGTAATATAGTAATAGTAGACTCTCCGTGAAGTCTGAAGGGAGTGACCATGCTCCGAATAGGCTCTGGGAAAGCTTAGATAATCTGCTGTGTGAAAAAGAGAGTTTGCAGAACTTCTGTGAGCAGAGCAGACAGCAGTGGAAAGACCCAGCCTTGCTGTCCCATGCACCTGGATGGGTAAAAAGGGGTCTTCTTTTTTAGCCCATTTTTACATTAATGTGCATCAAAGAGATGACAGTACTTTGGATATAAATCAGCATGTCCTGTCCTATAAAACCTCAGCTGAATAACTGAAATGCAGAACATAATGTTCTCTTCACTGGTTGAAACACAAATGGAATCTGTCCCACTCACAGGGAAAACACCAAAAGGGCGTTATCGACATCATCCAACTTCTGTCTGGTTTAGCACAAGGATCAGAAATAAAGACTGACAGAGAAACATTTCCCCAGCACTAACTGCTTAATAACTACAATGATGGATAAAGGTGCCTGCAAAATGTAATAGTCGTCTATTAGAACAAGCTTAAATGGATAAAACTCTCATTTCGGTTTACACTGAGGTCGAACTTGGAGGCCAACTTTGGTGTACTTTAAGGTTGAAGAAGCAGATGGCAGGCCATATGACTCATTTTTGATATAAAATATTTCATTCTAAGGCAACAATTGTGAAAAATACCAGAGAGAATAAATTCACTAAAAGGCAGAACTGGAATTAGCAGATGAAGGAGGAAAACAATCCATAACAAGAAGCGACCACTTGCCTTTGTTATCAGTGCTCCCCATGCTCCACTTTTAATTCAAGAAGCAGACAAGAAATTTCCACACTTGAGAAGATCTGGGTCTGCAGAAAACTGTCCTTTGTCTTGAAGTTTCTTATTTTGAAAGGCGTCTTTGCTTTATAGGAGTCTTGCTTGGGTTTGACCCAAAAGAAAGGAGCACTTTGGTGCGGTGTTGGCGATGCCATGTACAATCAACAGAAGCTAAAAGGCTTCTGTTATTCTGTTTCTGTTTCACTTGGACACTGAACATCCTCCTTTTAAAGGATTTTCAAATTTTTACTTCCAGGTACTAACTATTCCTAAGTCAAGGTGTTACTAAAAGTTAGGGATTTAAAATCAAATTATATTTTAATTCATACTATTGTTGTTTGCTCTTTGATGGGAACAGCTTTACATACTTTCCTAATAGAAACCCATTAAGACACATTTTTTATGGAATAGATCATASCTCCAATAGTAAAATCATTGGAAGGGATGGAAGTTTCATAGAACTCCCTAGGACGTATTGTATAATTTGTATGACTTTTTTTACTACCTCTTGAGCTTCAGCTGTTACTGGAATGAGGTACACGGGAATTTTGTGTCTAAAATACAGCTTTTTCCCCCTTAACAAAGCTGTTGGTACTTTAGAGCTGTAGGGCATGGGGTGAGTATGGTTCACTGGGCGGCAGGGAGGGCGGTTTTGCTCTGACATTCACACCCGGCTTTCGTCCTGCCAGGCTGCACCACGGGCCGCGGCGCGGGCACCCACAGCCCTTGCGCGCACCCCTGCTCCGTGGACGGGCGCCCCGCAGGAGGACGGGAGCGAGAGACACAAAACGCTCCAGGGCCGCTGGAATGGCGGGCAGSGCTGCTCACTGTGCGGCCTCTGCCTGCCAGGCCGCGGGCAGACCCTGCCAGCCCCCGAGCGCAGGCCGTGGCTCTGCCGCCCTGGCGCTGCCTGTGCTCCAGGCCGAGACCGGGACCAGGGCCAGGGCCGGGACCAGGACTAGGGCTGGAACCAGGGTCAGGACCAGGGCCAGGGCCGGGAGCGGGAGCGAGCGCTCGAGTGCGGAACGGCAGAGCCCGGAACGACAGGCGCGGGGCCGATGTTCCGCCCGGAGGCAGGGCCCGTAACGCCGCCGCGCCGCCGTTTCTGGCGCGCCGCCGCGGTGCTTGCCGGGACTCAAGATGGCGGCGCCGAGCCGCGCGGGGCAGGAGATGAGCCTGGCGGCCTTAAAGCGGCACGACCCGTTCATCACCAGCATCGCGGACGTGACCGGCCAGGTCGCGCTCTACAGCTTCAGCGCCAAGGACAACGAGTGGGTGAGCGAGCGGGCGGGGGTCCCGGGGGCGGCGAGAGGGCGGGAGCGGCGCTCGGCCCCCCCGGGCCGCGCTCGGCCCCCGTGCCGCCCCTGCTTCATCCCCCGGCCGCGGAGAGGCGGAACGGGCGGCGCTTTGGCCCGCGCCGCGGCCCTGCGCGGCTCCCCGCGGGCCGTGGGCGCGGGCGGAGCGGGGGAGCCCGGCCGCGGTGCCGGGGCCGCGCCGCGGGTCGCGGTCGCGGGGGGCGGCCCCGTTGTGGGCGCAAGGGCTGCGCTCGAAGCCGGGAACCGGGCGAAGGGGCTCGGTTCKGAGCACCCGGCCCTGCGCCGGCGCTTGAGGAAGGCTTCGCAGCACCTTAGTAAGCCCATAGTGTGAACAGAGTCTTCCAGCACACAAGTTTAGCTTCTTGCTAAGAAAGAAATGTGAATATCCTCTAAAAACTTCGAGTTATACTTTTGTTGCAATCATGTGAAGCTTTCTTATGGAGAGATAAGAATGTTATTCTCTGTAATTAAAGTTACACAAAGCTGTGTATTTGTGTGACTAAGCACAACCCTTAAAATTCCTCTTCTTTGTAGGAGAAGACAGACATAGAAGGTACCTTATTTGTGTACAAAAGGTAAGCTGTTTTTAGAACAAATTTTAAAAAATGTTAGTTGGCTTAATGTGTAACTCTCCTGTTGAATTTACTGCATCCAGTTTGAAATTACTGAGTTGTTCAGCCCTTAATGTTTGTATGTCTGCTTGAAAACAGTATATTCTGCTCATAAGTAATTAACTTCACTAAGAACGTATAAAAGTTTTGCTGGAAAAATAATGGGACTTGATAAATGCCATATATTATCAGAAAAAGACAGTATATCAGCACTTATTCCCTAAAAAGTTATGAAAATACTAATGACAGTTGGTTAATAGTAGGTTTGGCTCTAATGACTCTTTTCTCAACCATTTCTGCTCTCGGATGTGAGTGAGCTGATAAAGCAGAGGCCAGGTGCTGTGGCAGGGCTGCCTGCAGGCACCGCTCGCCCTCCCTGCTGACCCTGCCCTCGTGCAGGGAGGCAACCAGCCYGCAGGCAAGCAAGCAGCAGGAGCCCAAGTTAGGTGGTTTCTTCTTCCASCTGGCACTTAACAAAAGTGCTGATACTTGAAAGTAATTTCACTAAGCAATATAATTTTAAGTGTTTTTAGAGCTTTTCCTTCCTATTTAGGTATAGGTCCTGCTGTTTAAGCTAACTTTTGGTTTTTTTTTTTTATCATTGTCGTGTGGGTGTACGGGGCGCTAAGTGTTGCCCTGTAGTGTAGCTTGGTTTTTGGGAGGAGTCYGTTGTACCCTTTTCCTCTATCTAAGCATTCTAAAATGCTTCAAGATGTGAATGAAGGATTGAATATACTTGAAATATAATCATGGCCTCGGTATTTGTTTGCTTGTTTGTTTTAAGGCTTTGGGAGATATCTTTGAATCCTTAGGTTAGCAGTGTAGAATTTCAATATTTATCTTAATCCCAGTTTGGAGCAAGTGTGATCTGAAATTGAAAGYGTCTGATTTGCTGAGAAATAACACTTGAGAGCAGCTATTAGAGCCTCTGTGCTGATAACGTTTGAGATAATTAAGTAGCAGAGATGCAAAAATTGATTTATAATTCTGCTTCAGAGAAGTGTTGTATATGTTGAACGAGTTATTAATCTCTTTTTGTTTGTTTTAATTGATTCATTAGGTCAGCCTCTCCTTATCATGGTTTTACAATAGTGAATCGACTTAACATGCACAACCTGGTTGAACCAGTAAATAAAGACTTGGAGTTCCAGCTCCATGAACCTTTTCTTCTCTACAGAAATGCCAGCTGTGAGTATAACCTTTTAAAATCCTTATCATCTTAATACACTGTTTCGTAATCCAGGCAACGGTTTTGGTGAGAGAAAACAGCTTAAGGTAGGAAGGTTAACTTCTCATGCATCTTTAGCCAGCCCTCTATACACAGGTGTAAGAGAGGAAAAGGCAAATCTAGTCAATAAACTGAGGATTTCAGGAGATAATTAATGATTAGTATGAAAAATTAGCAAGAGGGGATTAATATTGAGTTGGATGTTTAATCGGGTTACTAGGCTTGGAGAGAAGAGAGCCTATAGAGCGTGGTGGCAAGGGTCAGGGAGATGGCTGATTCAAGTGACAGAGGAACAAAGCACTGCAAGTGTGTCATCAGGGATGTAAGGAAAATGGGAGGGGAATAGTGCTTGCTGGAACTGCTCATAGARTTAGAGAAGCAGCAACTGATGTGGAGTGGTTGTGTTGTGGGTTAGTGGGAGTGGCAGGGGGTGGCTTGATAGAGCGATTCAGAAAAGGTGTGCTGTGTGAGGAGTTTATTAGAAACTCCTGAAGCTACTAATGTGCTCCTCTGTCACTGATTTAAAAACTCATTTTCCTGTGGGACACTCTTGTGTCAAGTTTGTGAGAGGCTGATGGGAGTTGGGCTACAGATGAAATAAAGTAGTGGAAGAAATGCAAAGATATGCAAGGAGAACAGGGTAAGGCTTGAGAGAAGCTTCAGGGAAATAATTCCTTTTTGAGGTAATCRAACTACCTTTCAAAAGGTAATCAAAACCTTTTCCTCAGTAAGTCCTTACTMTCAGTTAAAACTATCCTTTGTTTTGTTACTCTACTGTCTCCTAGAAAAAGGCAGCATGTTCAGAAACAGTCTCCCCTTTGGCTACAAAATATTAACATTAGATGTGTTTTCCTATTGGCCACAAATAAACAGCTGACTGCTTAATATTGTGTGCTGTGCTAGTGTTTGCTTCTTTTGAACACAAGCATGAATTGTATGAAGAACAATATTAACAAATATTATTTGTTCATTCTGCTGTTTACCTCTGATACAATGGTGTGCTTAAATGATAAGGTTGTAACAGGATCAGTGGCAAGTCGCATTTCGTGCCTCTCCATGACGTGGCCGTGATGGCTAAGATGATTGATTAAAACAAAACTGYGGCACCGTGTACCCAGGAAATGGGCCGGGACAGGCATTGTCAATGAATGTAATCCTGGTGTTTTTATCAACTTCACGTTTCACTTTGCTCATGGATCATATCTTGACTTAAGAAGATAAGGRCACAATATGTTATGTATACAAGCTCAGGCCTCTGGCGTTTGTCTGCCACAGTTACTGGCAGAGGACTGCTCTGACTACGTGAAGAATGAGTTACTCCAGTCTGTGCAGAGCTATTAGCAAGTTATGAGATACTTTGAAAGCAATATATAAACATTATTTTTACTTGGCTGCAGGCTCTGGGTGATTTGCCAGTCATGCTAAATCATAATATTTTTAGTGCTTTTTTTCTTTTTCACTATGCTTTTTTTAATTTGTTCTTGGCAAATAATTCTACACCTATATATTTAATACAATAGAATCCTTAGTTTGCACATTAGAACGTACTTTGTTAAGCTGTAAGCATGAGATCCTTATCTCTATGCAATTGCACAAAGGATTTTTCAAGCTCTTGGAGTAGGGCTAATTGAGGAGATTGCTGTTTTATCCTCTTGCTGGAAAGGAGGCCGTACTCTCCTTTGATCAGCATCTTTTGTTTTTGTTTGCTTTTGCAGAGTTTGATATTAAGGAGTATTTTCTGATTGAGCAGTGATGAGGAAGGACTAAATGATACAATGTTTTTCTTATATCTGTGTTCACTGAGTGGAATAGAAGTTAATTAGGTCAATGTGTTGTTTATATTGACTAGATGTAGAGCGTACAGAAGGTATTCTCATTTGGGTTTTATCTTGGCAAATTTTTTAGGTTTTTTTTTTTTTTTAGGTTTTAATGTGGAAGTCTTTCACAACTCACTCGTTTCTTTCCCCTCTTTCATATTTATTCTAGCAGTATCATAGGATTCAAGCCCCAAAACA